GGGTCAGGAGACCATGGCCTTGAAGTTTGGGGGTAGCTGGCTGTGTAGCTGTATCTGCGTCTTAAGCTCACTAGACTTCTGTGGGATGAGAAAGTTCCACATCCTCCAGGCTAAGGAAGACACCAGTGAAGCCAGCGAGGGCTTCTACCTCTTCAGGAGGAGCATCTTCCTTCTAGAAGGAGGCTACTGCTTTCTAAAGTAGTGAAGTCAGGGAGTTCACTTGGATTAGAAAAGATAATCACTCACGATAGCTTTTTACCTCCCTGGTCACTGCCCAAGACTCATTGCAATACTTCTGCAGAGAGCCGTGGGTGGAGGAGATCCTACACTCTCAAACCTCATCTGCTAGGGTGGCTAGAATGTTCTGGGCTTGGGGCCAGGCAGTGTGCACACTGTGGCGGACCCTGTCCCCAGGATTAGCCTGTCCAGGTAGAGCCCAGAGAAGTCTTTCCACTCAGGTAACAGGAACTGCCAGTGAGACCCTGGAGACCATCTTTGTGTTTCCAGTCAGGCTGTGGGTTTAGTTGGGTTTTCACAAGGATGGGGGAAATTGGGTTTTCATCCAATTTGCCTGCGGTTCTCACCTTAGAAGTCAATGGGATCCGACAGAAGTCTCTATCTCATCTTACAGACCCACAGCCAACACCCAGTTGGCCTGGAAAGGTTCCAGCCTTTTCCACTCGACAGCTGTGAAAAGGGATTTTTTGTGGGGATTAGTGAAATTTCTTAATTTCTTGGGTTCTTTAGCCCCTAAGAGTATCGAAAAAGAAACACACACACCAAAACAAAACAACCCCCCCCCCAAAAAAAAAAAAAACCATGCTGGAGGCAGTAGTTGTCTGTACACCAGCTTTCCATACCAGGGAAGAAAGGTTTCTCAAGAAAGGGTTTCTTTGTGTAACCCTGGCTCTCCTGGAACTGGCTCTGTGTAGATCAGGCTGGCCTTGAACTCAGGGATGTGCCTGTCTCTGCCTCCCTGCTGGGACTGGAGGTGTGCCACTGTGCCTGGTTTCCTGTGTCTTTCTCATTTTATTTGCTTAGGGCTGTCTGCTTTGGGAACTACTCTCTGTACTTCTCCCCCAGGGGGTGGGGAATTGTAAGAAAATGAATGACTAAAAAGATTGGTAAATCAAAACGAGACCAATTAATCTCAGAAGAGTAACTTAGAAAGTTACCAAGAAGCCCCAACCCACAGCTTGAGAGGGTTCGACAGCCAGGTATTTTGTTTGTTGAACTGGGAGGTGCGCGTGCCCTCCTCCCCCAAACAGGAGAGTGTGGGGGCATCGATCTAGGAGGCAGATGAAAGGGTGCCTTTTCTTTTGTGGTGGTGCTGGTTTCTGAACTTGAGCATTGCAGGAAGACCTGGCAGCGATCCTAACAGATAGCGCCTAGGTTGGAGGCAAAGCGCATGCTTCTGCGCTCCGTCATAGCTTATCTCTCCCTTCCGAGCATAATGAGCCTGGAAAGGAACCCGCCACTTGCCTGTGAGCTGGAACTATGCCAGGCTGCCCAGGGTGGTTCTACCGGTGTGATTTCTCCTCCTGGTTTCCGTGTTCTCCCTCTGTCCCCCTTCCTCCATCCTGCCTCCTCAGCCTCTCTGGCACGGAGATGCCTGATGGCAGTAAGGGAGTAGACAGCAGATACGGCAGGAAGGCTGGCCAAAGGGCCTTTCAGAGCAGACCAAAATTTGCTTTGATGGTGGTGGTTTTGGAAAAAGAAGCCATTGGTTATCTAGTCTTTAAAAACCTGCTTACAAATATTTCAATGTGGAGACTCTAAGGTCTGTGATGGATGCCGGGGTCAGCACCTCTGAGATGGAGGTACCAAGTGTGATGGGATAGCTAAGGGGCCGCTGGGAGGGGAACTCTGTAGGCCAACCCACATGCCATGCCTCTTGAGTTCTCAGAACCCCTCTGTCTGCATAGTGTTACAAATCCATTTCTTTTCCTTCCTCCCTATTGCTTCAAGGTTCCAGAATAATCTTTCTCTGTGTGGGCAGTGATTTGCAAAGCCTGCTTGGAAAAGCCAGCTTTCTCTAAACTGTCTGCCCAGGGCTTCTCTGGGGTCTCTTGGTAGTCACTGGACTACCTAGTCCACCATCTGTGCACGTGACTAGAGCTGGCTATTCCCTTTTAGAGTCAAGAGGGAGAAAACCACATAGGAACATGTAGCAGGTGGTCAATAAACCAAGTCTCCTATTGCTCAAGATCACATAGGAAGTTAGAGTCAGGATTATGATGAGAAACAGGATCCACCTTGCCTGGTGTCCAGGGTTTTCCTCATGAATAGGTTTTGTCTTATTTTAAATAGTAGATTTATTTATTTTTAAAGATTTACTTACTGATACATATGTGTATGTGTGTACATATGTGTGTAGGTACCCTTGTAGGCTAGAAGGCGGCATTGGGTCCCCTGTAGCTGGAGGTACAGGTGAGCCTCGGATATGGGTGCTTGTCATCTGGAAGAACAACAAGTGCTCTTAACCACAGAGTTATATCTCTGGTCCCATTATTGTCTTTTAATCAAACAATATTCTTTAGATTCCCACTATTTGCCCCTTCCTCTGTCAGCCAATGAGAATCCTTTCCTTAGTGATCAAAATCCATTTTCCATAGGGATTCAGCACAGGCTCAGATGTTAATCTCAGTTTATACATTTATTTGTTTGTTTGTTTGTTTATTTTTGTTGTTTGTTTTCTGAGGCAAGATCTCCTATGTGGCCTAAACAAACCTCATCCTGGAGATGCTCTTGCCTCATCCTCTAGCAGCCAGCATGCCCCATCTGTCTAACTCAGACTCTCAGCTTTTGCTTGGGTTAGTCACATTCCCAGTGTAGGCCGAGACAACATTCTAAGCCAGCATCTTTTATGTGCCAGAGTTTTATCAGTCAAGAAAATCAGCTGGTCTATTTCAGAAGGTCCCACCAAAGTTTCTTGAGGGGCGTTTTAGATTCTGCATTCCTCGATATATTGCATACACTCAAAGTCACTTGGCTCTCCTCCCAGTGGACTTTCTGAAATTTTGCTAGAGAGTAATTGTTTAGGAGTTGGGGGGGGGGCGGCGCATAAGCAGTACTTCCTGCCTTTCTCAGGGATTCCTGGGAAACCCAGGAGTGGGTGGTTCTTGTGTCATGGAAGGGGGGTAGAGACTGGAAAGAACTGGAAACCACCAAAGGTTCCTCAGGCTACGGTATGGAGGGCACGTCTCTGCTCGTAGAGAGACTGCCACCCTGTCACCAAAACCATGCCGACCCTGCGGGCCTCAGCAGATGCAGTTGGCATGGGGAAGGTGGAAGGAGGGATGAGGAGACCGAGTCCCCTGACCTGCAGCTTTCAGGCTTCTGGGCTTCCCAGATGGGAATTTATACAGAAATAAAGAGCAAACTTTGGAGATCAATTCAAGGATGTCATGTGTTTTGCTCTTTTGAGGTGGGGAGTTTTAAGGATACCATTTAGAATCTTAGTCATGTCAAAGGAAATTCTGATAGTCCGGCATGGTGGAAAAGCAAAGGATTTATAAATATTTGCTCTAGTAAGCTTTTGTGTGTTCCTGTGTTTGTTTTGGTTGGTTGATTTTTGTGTACACCCAGGCTGAGTTCAAATATGATCCTCCTGCCTCACCCTCCCAATTGCTGAGATCGCAGTGCACGCACTACACCTGGGCACTGAAGATTATTTTTTGGTTTCGAGTTTTGATTGTTTTGTTTTTGTAGTTTTTGTTTGTTTGTGACAGGGTCATATTGTCTTCCAAGCTAATCCTTCAGTCATGACAGCCATTGTTGTCATCAGAACAGCTGGGACTGTTTATAAGAGACCCCCCAAATCAGGCTGTTGACTGTTAATGTTCCCACATAGTAGGGGTGAGAAGGGTCATTAGACCTTCCCCCAAGATCCCTGTCATTCCCTCTGTTCCTTCTGGCCAATTGTCATAATTCTGACCCCATTATGTGTGTACAGACCACGGACAATTAACTGGAGGGGGTACTCTGTGGAGGGGTGGGGAAGTTGTCATCAGTGCTGGGTAAAGATTTTCCAGTATGGCTGCTTTGGGGTCCCTTTTTCTCCTGTATGTGTCCTTCCTTATGCTCTGTAAGTAAACCTGTTAAACTCACTGCCTTCCCAGAATGCACTTTGGTGGAATCATATTTGGTTTGTTGTTGAGGCCTTATAAGGAGAAGACAGACTGTATTTATATCTCCCCAAGGCAAGAATTCTTCTTTATTTTAAAATAATTTGTTTATTTTTATTTTATGTGCATTGGTGTCTTCCCTGTATGTATGTCTGTGTGAGGGTCTCAGATCTTGGAGTTATAGACATTTGTGAACTGCTATGTGGGTGCTGGGAATTGAACCCAGGTCCTTTGGAAGAGCAGTCAGTGCTCTTAACCACTGAGCCATCTCTCCAGCCTTGGCAAGAGTTCTTATATAAGCCCCAAAACTCACTATGTAGCCCAGACTGGCCTTAAACTCATGGCAGTCCTCCGGCCTTGGCTTCCTAAGCACTGGCGTCACAAGAATGCACCACCATCCCTGGTTAGCTTTCTCATTACAAACTTTTAAGTTACATTTATTGTGTGTGTGTGTATGCACGCGTGCGTGCATATGTGTATACATATGCAACGGCACACATATGGAGGTCAGATCATCAGCCTTGGGAGCAAGTGCTTTACCCACTAAAAGTCATCATACCAAAAGGGTGAGCAGGTCTAAGCTTTCTTTTCTTTTTAGAAGTCACTATGCTACCCTGGTTTTTCTCATTCCAAGGAAGAAAAGTACTGTGTGCTGACACAGCAGCAAGGTGCTGCTGCTGGTAGACTGGTCCGCCTTGCAGACTGGTCCTGTAGAATCCTCTTGGGACCCATCCATGCCTTCAGCCCAGGGGATTCTGAGCTACCCGCTTTCTTTCCAGACTTGTCACTCATCTCCTGCTTTAGCCTTCACAGTGCTGTTTCTGTCTGCTGGGGGTGCCCAGGACTCACCTTCTCCTCCTGCCTCTATTGCAGATTAAGACAGAGGATCTGGGTGACTCTCTACAGCAGACCCTTTCCCACAGGCCATGCCACCTGAGCCAAGGGCCCACCATGATGCCTGGAAACCAAATGTCTGGGGTAGGTGCCAGCCCATGCCATGGACCCTGCTATACTTTCTAGGTTGATGAGTCTGTTCCAGCCCCTCTATAAAATGTTGGCTCTCTATACTTAATACCCTGTGAATTCATTCAAGGAGTCCCCATTACAAGCAAAGGAGGCCTTTGCAGAAGTGAGACCTGGTGAGGGACACAAAGGGACCATGCTTCTGCTTTTGCAGTACCAAAAGCTAGTCTTGACAAAAAGGATCCAATAGCTATGTTGCAACACTGAGGGCCTCTGGTGATTAATGCTGAGTAGTGACAGACCCTCTCTGTCACCAGTGGGCACACTCGGCCTCCATCAAGATTATATTACAAAGCTAAACTAGCGAGGAGGGTTCGTGTCTGGAGAGCAGTGAGCCTCAGCCCAGTAGCATAGAAGTTTCCAGGGGATCTTGTGGTTCATCCAGGGAAGAAAGATCTACTTTCTGAGCCATTCCTGCGACTGGCATGAGTCACCTCCTTCATTCTTTGAGGTGTGTCAAGTGTGTATGCCACAGGTCTCAGGTCTGTGGGGTCTGGAACCCCCAAATGCTGGGTTCACCATGTGTATGTCTTGAGGTGGTGAGGGATGCTTAGAGCGATGAATGTTCTGTTTAATATTAAAAACTAAGCCTGGGGCAGAGCTTGCTGGTGCACAGCTTTAATCCCACTACTCAGGAGACAGAGGCAGGTGGATCTCTGTGAGTTCAAGGCCAGCCTGGACTATGGAGAACACTCCAGGCCAACTAGCATTACATAATAAGAGACCCTGTCTCAAAACAAAACAACAAAGTCAGGTATGGAAGTGTATGCCTGTAACCCCAGTGCTTGCCAAGTTGAGGCAGAAGGAATAGCTGCAAATTCAAGGACCCCCTGGCCTATGCAGTGAGTTTGCAGCCTTTCTTGCTAGAGAGTGAGACCTTGTCTCAAATAAAACAACAACAAAATAACTCACAGTTTTGCCCCATCTTTTAGTACTTTCTAGAAAGACTCAGGTACAAGAAAGAATTGAGGAGTGGCTTTTAGCATAATCAAGTGACGTGACGATTTAAGAAAATGTACAGTTGGGATTGCTACCACTTTAGATAAGCCTGTGTAACATGGGTAATGCCTACTGTAGGTCCTCAGGGCACCTGCAACTGGGAGTCAGGACAAACGAAAACATTAGGACAGAGTTAAGTAACTGTATGCTTCAGGGACTGCTCGGTGGGTTGCAGGAGCAACGCCAGCAATAGTAGCAATGTCTAGCTACTGTGTGCTATGTGTTGAGGACGCATGGCAATATGAAGCAAGGACGCTGCCCACAACCTCCCAGAGTTTGCAATCCCAGGCACTACAGGAGTTGTAGGTCAATAGGCTTCAGGTTCCCCGACTGTATAACATCTGTGCATCTATAACATCTGTGCATCTCCCCACCTACAGGACATGGCTTCTCTCCATCCACTCCAGCAGCTTGTGCTAGTCCCTGGCCACTTACAGTCTGTATCCCAGTTCCTGCTTTCCCAGACCCCACCTGGACAGCAAGGTAAGCACCCTAGGCTTTGTACAGTCATTGCCTGAGTCTAGAAAGGGCTGTTGCTGCTTACTGGGCGTGGGGGAGGGAGGGGCAAAGAAATTGCTCACCCCTCTGGTATAAAAACTAACTTGGGGCTGGGGGAATAGCTCTCAGCTGAGAGAAAGTTTACCTAGCATCCAGGACGCCCTGGGTTTGAGTCCCAGCATTACATAAAACCAAATATAGTGGCACCTTTAATCCCAGCACACATGTAAGTGGAGGCAGGAGGCTGATCCTTGGCTATACAGCAAGTTTGAAGACAGCCTGGGCTATATGAAATCCTGTCTGAAAAAGACCAGCTTTCCTGCCTGGGACCTAGGAAGGGGTTCCTATGGGTGGGGCTCCAGATTCTTTATCTTCCTTGTTTCACCTCTCTGCTCTGGCTCTCGCTGAGACTTCATTTTCATAGGAACCGACTCTAAAGGTGCAGGATGGTGGGGGTGGGGGTGGGGTGGAGGTGACACAAGGAAGGAAGAAGCAGCTAGCTCCCAGGGATTCCTTTGGAGGCCTGGCTTGCTTTGAGCCTTTCCCCTCCCATTGGCCTGGCTATGATTCTGTCTGGATGGAACAGCAGTGCCTCCCACAGGCTACAGAAAATAGGTCTGGTTGTCTTTGGCAGGGAAATTACTCCCGAGCTCTGAGCAAACACATCAGAGCTTTAATAACACTAAGTATCATTGCTTAACATGCCCGGGAGTCTGTTGAGTTGTTTTCCTGGCTTATTCCTCAGAGTAAACTTGTGCTATAGATAGCTCTACTGAATGCTGGTGGACCTACTAGAAAGTTCCAGAATAGTCTAAGACCCATGCTCTAGATGACTGCACTATACTGCTTGTCTTTCCACTCACCACTGCCAAACAGGGCTGAAAATGCTATCGGAAGTACAAGCTCTCCATAGCGCATACTCTAGAGGAGAATTTGGAAGTCCAAGTAACTGCTCTCCACGCCGGTTACCTGCCTAAGACACAGGCCCTATGCTTAGCCTGCCAGGAGTCTCAGAGTAGCGCTAGGATGATCCGGAACACATCTGAGTGTTTATTTTGGCTAACGGACACCCATCATACTTCTGGACTAGGGAAGAGAAGATAAGCATTGGTTCAGTTTATTTCTAGACGACGCCAAGTGACGTGAGCATGATCTAGGCACAGAATTCACAGGCACTGGCATATCATATACAATGGAGGGGGACAGAAAAACAGGCTAAATTTGAAGTCAGAGAAACTCTTAAAAAAAATACTGGCTATGCTTCTCTAGAAAACTTACATAATCTTTACAAGTTTGTTTCTTCTGCTACAAAAATAAGAAAATAAAGCTCTGCACCCCAAAGTTATTATTGATGGGTATTTGGGCAGAATGCAGTGTAAGCAAATTAATACTCCAGCTTCCTCATACCTAGACCAAGGTTCCTCCAAGACCTCTCTTACCTTTTGACCTTTGGGGTAGAAAGGTCAACTCTAGCAAATGTGGTAACCTCAGTGACCCAGAACCGTCTGGGGACAGCAGATATGCCAAGGAGCTCCTCTATGCCGAGTGGCAGAGATGCCCTGCTCCCACTGTTGGCCTTGCTGCTTTGAGCCTCCCCCACCCCCCTGCTAGGAGTGTGAACTGCTGACTCTGGCCATCTGAAGACAAGAGCTACTGATTACAGTCATCAGACGGGCAGAGCCTTTTCTTGGCAGTTTTCCTGAAGATGGAGGGAGAGGGAGGTCCCTAGGCAAGGTAACATATAGATAGAGTCTACACTGCCCAAAGGGAGTTTGAAGTCCCAGCATCTGGCCTTCCCTTTGCTCTCAGGCCTCCTTCCAATGAATTTAATGACCAATGAATTCCAATGAATTTAATGAATTTAAGGGCACTGGGTCACTAAGAGCCTCTAACCAATGACCCAGTGCCCTTCTGAGCAATATGGCGCCAGCTGCTTGCTCTGCTCTTACAGGTCTGGTGGGCCTAAACATCCCAGCTGCTTTCCCTTGCAGACAGTTTGAAACACTCCGGTCCCCCAGGGCTCTGTAGTCATTCCTGTATCCTTGCCCCTCTGGGCAGATTCCAGGGAGAGTGTCTTGACCCTCCTAAGCAATAGCAGCTCTCCAGGCAGGCAGGCAGGCAGGCAGGACAGGTTTGGGGACTGCTGTTTACATCTGTTTATCTTTGGGTCTGGTTGGCCTCCACCTGTGTGTGGCAATTCCTGGCAGTGCCCACAGGGCCTTTCAGTCAGGCTTAAGGTGGGTTGTGGGACCTGGATGAGGTGAGCAGGAGGAGGGGGCAGTTAACATGATTTCAATGTCCAGCTGGTCTTTCAAATGGCCTGGATTTTGTTTGTTTTGTTTTGTTTGTTTGTTTGTTCCTTTGTCCCTCCCCTGTCACTCAGGTCTGCAGCCGAATCTTCTCTCCTTTCCACAGCAACAAAGCACTCTACTCCTCCCACAGACAGGGCCTGGCCTCGCCTCCCAGGTAACTGCCAACCCCTCCTCCTGCTTCTTTATAGATCCTCAGACTTCCTGCCTCTTTAGCAGGACATTTGCTCCTTAGGGCCTCTCCCTGTTGGCATCTGGGAAAACCCCAAGCTACTCCTAAGGAGGTAGGTTTCCCTGTCATTAAAACATGGCTCTGCGGCTGGCCTTATATCTGCTATGGGCACACAGTTCCAGTCTTGTCAGGTTCTGGCTTCACCCCTCTAAGAACTTAGCCAGCTACTGCTACTCAGGATGCTAAGCTACCCCACTCCAAGTTCCACCCAGATGCCATCAAGCCCCAAGAAGGGTAGGACAGCAAAGACAGTATCTCGCCTCAGGACCACTTCAAATGATTATGCTCTCCAATGGGTATATGCTGGGGACAAGTAGGTTGTCTAACAGGAGGGCCCTGTGCCGACTTGCTTTGGAGCATCACACAGACACACACACACACAAACACACAAAACACCTGTTTGTCAATTAGGAAATAAAATAAAAGTCTGTTTCTTGCCAGCCTCATGCCAGGGTGTCTTCAGGACGTCAGATGCATTATTTGTTCCTACAAGGGATGACTGGAATTGACCACAGAGTCTTGTAACATTCCTTCTCTTGGTCTCCCAGGCCCACCATCCACAGAAAATAGCAAGAAGGAGAGTGCCACCTAGTGGTTGAAAGAAGTGGGAACAGCTAAGTTGGATGCTGCACTTTTCTTCTGTCTGTACCCAAGAATGGCGTAGTTAAAGAAACTGATCTATATGACATTGAGGTCCTAGAGCATACCCAGGACCTACTCAAGAGACTTGTGACATATAGTCCAATTAGAAGACAATTAAGGTCTTTCTACTTGGGGAGCCAAGGTTTCTGTCTGTAGTCCTAGCTACCAGGGAGACGAAGGCAAGAGAATTACTTGTTGAAAACCAGCTTGGCTGTCTATAAGTAAATAAGTAGAGGAGTCCTCTTGGAGTAAGATGACTGACCAACAGTCACAGAAACAAGAGCAGAGAGGGCTAAGTGAATGGTGTCTGGGACATCAAACTGATTCAATTGGGCAATTGATGGGATTGTGGAGGAGGAGGGGAATGTGTAGCTCAAAGTTCTTGTCAAATGCAATAGCAAGTGAATTTACAGAAAGGAGTGTTCCAGGGTGACCAGAGCTTTTCTCTGGGGATCTGGTCTGGGCTGCCTCTCTCTGCTCCCATCCTCATCTCCTGCCAAACAGGTCCCATCTGTGGTGTTTCTGGCCACTCCAATCTATAGAAGACTGACTCCTCTTCCTTGTAAGGATGCCTATCTCTGGGAAAGCAGAACAGAAGAGAGGATTGAAGCTCCTCTAAGGAAAAAAGAAAACCAGGAAGGAGAGACAGGGGATTTCCGCTCATCGTCCTCACAGGCAGTGCGCAGTTCTCTGCTAGACACAGTGCCTGGCACCCAGATCTAGACCACACTCCTTCTTGGTGGAATAATAGATAGATCAAGTGGCTGGAGAAGTGGCTCAGGGGTTAAAAGCTCTTGCTGTTCTTACAGAGGACCTAGGTTTGGTTCCCAGTACCCACATGTAGACTCACAACCATCTGTAAGAACTCCCGTTCTAGGGGATCAGACTCCCTCTTCTGGCCTCCGAGGGTCGCAGGCACACATGGGGTGCATTTACACACAGACAGACAAAACACCTGTACACATAAATAAATCTTTTTAAAAATAGATATTTTAAGCTAGATATATTTTTGATCTCGTGTGAATGCAGCATGGTCCTAAATTAGATGGTAGATTTTCCTATGAAAACAGACTAAAGAAGAGATATCTTCCGGCAAGTTATGCTGAGATAGCAGTAGTTAAAACAAACAACAAACCTTTGCTTGGGGCCGGAGAGATGGCCCAGCGTTCTGCTCATTCCCAACACTCACATAGTGACTCACAGTAATCTAGTTCCAGGTGATCAAACACCCTTCTTGCTTCCACAGGCCATGGGTACACATGCATGCATGCATACATACGTGCATTCACGTATATACACACACATATATGCAAAACCACCCAAACACATAAAATAAAAACAAATAAATCTTTCAAAACCACCTTTGATTAAAACTTAACCCTCTCCAGGAATGGTGGTGTGTATATCTGTAAACCTAGTATTGCAGAGGCAGGAGGATTGTGAGGACTAGTCAGATTGGATGACATAGCAAGACCTTTTCTCCACCCCCCCCCCCAAAATGGATACATAAAATAAACTCATAACATTCTCATTAAAGAAAACTGGTATAGGATGGGTGGTGGTGGCACATGCCTTTAATCCCAGCACTTGGGAGGCAGAGGCAGGC